TTTGCAAGAATGCTCTAACAAAAGATGGGTTCAGATCCAGACTTGCACTTCCTTTCAGCATGAGGTTTTCTGGTATGAGATTTGGGTTCATCTCAAGTTCAAACTTTTTCAGCCTAAGTGTAAAAACATGCACTTCACAATACCATCAAAACCCTCAAATTACAGCCAAGAACAGGAAACAACTACACCAGCACATAAATAAGAACTCAAATGAGTTTAATTCCCCATCTACTTTCTGGTTATGCATTCCCTTGAGCCTGAACACCAAACCATGAGCCACACATGAATAATGCAGTTGCTGTTTCAGTGTTGGATCAGCAGGAGAAATCTGTATCCTTCTTTGTCTGGTATTACTAGGGATATTTCTGACCACCTTGCTTTGAAGTCAGAGTCACTAAAATGCAGAGGGGTACACTTCACAATTGTAGGAAGCTCTTCCTCAAGAGAAGCACTTCCAGAAGGCCACTTAAATTGTGCTGATGTCAGTAAGCCCTATAAATTGTTCTGTCCTCAGGGGGCAGCAGGATGGAGGGGTGTTATAACCACATTCTAATCTACTTGTGCTCCTTGCAGGACCTGCAGTAGTTGTAAGCATTCAAAGCCACCCTCAAACAATCCTGTGCCATCCAAATAGTGCTGGATTTGATCACTTTTATGTAAAATAACTAATTGTAACAGACCCAGCAATCTGATCCACTACGCAGTATTTAAGCAAACAGCAGACTGCACAAGTGTATTCTTTACCAGTGCATGAAACAACACAATCCTCAACACGTTGGACTGCAACCCTGGCACACTGGGCACAGAACTGGTATGGGGATCCTTGTCCTGTGGCAATATTGCTGCAGCCATCTCCCAGATTGTTCATCTAGGAGTGAGGGGGGGGAACATGCTCATAGTGTACTGCTGCTGAAAGATAAACAATTATCTGCACCTCACCTCTTTTCTCCAATCCATCCTCTCAACTCTCCTCCTGAAAGTAATCATAGCAAGGAGCTACATCCAAGCACTCACTGCAGGAGCTTTGACAGTTTGGTTCTCAGCCACCAATGGAGTGCAACATTCTCTACCCTTGACAGTCCTACTGTCACTTGTGATTTTCCATTTCCAGACATAGTCTTGTATTAAGATTGGTCTTTTGCCCTTCAGGAGGATTGTGCTTTGTTTGAAAGGCTGCATGAAGAAACACCTGTCAAGATAAAATCTGCACCTTGATAGAGTCTTGGGCCAGTACAGCAGTAGTTGCTTTTCTAAATGGACCACATACAGTACAGCTCTTAAAAATACGCTCAATGCTATTCATACCTTGGCAGTGGTGACATATCAGACTGTGTTTGCAGCAGCATTTGGAAACGAATCTCCGGCTCTTTGCAGTCTCCTATGTGTAAATGTCACTTAATTGTCTAAGAAAAATTTGGCTGACCTTTCAATTACTAGTAATAGAATAAAAGCAGTAAAAGACTGTATGTGACAGCAAGTGTCACCAGTACCCAGTTGTCGCCTCCCTGTGCTGACTGGGAATGCCACAGAGAATTCACACTTCATTCCAGGACAGCATTTTTGGCAGAACACTGATAAAGGAAGTCGCTGGTAAAAGGATAGGAGCTAGGAAAAGAAAGGAATTGTCCCTCATCCTTCCCTGTCCTGACTCCATGAACAAATCCAGAAAGAGGATTTCTGGATGTCTGTAAAAAGGCCCTACATTCTGAGAGCTTTTTTGGAACTTAATACCTTCTTTCAGCAGGAAACACTGCATAGTTGAGACTATTTGCAGATAAAGGTCTGGGTACATGGATGAACCCTCCCAGCCATGCAGAATTAATGTCAATATGAAATTTACATGCTATTTTTGAGTTCTGGGCCAGTATATGTAGTTTATACAACTGTTTACACAGCTGTTGTTGACTGCATTTGTGAGACATTCATTCAAGTAGGGTGTATCTCATGGCTCTTCCACTGAAATGGACAGCTGTGTAGTCACTGTTTTGTCTACCATGTTTGGTTCTGGATAAGAAGGACACTTGAGTGGATGTTACAGTACAGCAATCTCACATCCAGTTTGTAAATTAGCTGTTAGCAGCAGTGTCTATAAACACTTCTCAAACTCCTCCTTCGGGTTCGCTCTCTTAAAACTGTCAGGCTGTTGGTTAAGATGGGAAAGTTGAGTGATAACCTCCTAGTGCTGGTGCATGACTCAAGAACCTTGTCTCAGCTTCTATCTAGCAAGTTTTTCACTTCTTTCCCAGTCACTGCTTTGACCCCCCAAAATAGAGACCTTGGCAGAAGTCATTGTTAGGACTGCTTTTCATCTTGAATACTGTACAGAACATGGTTTGTGTCTTCTGTGTGGAGACTCAAAATCTAAGCAATACCTTCAAACCCCTTCTGACAAGTTCGAGCCCTGAGAGCCTATTTTCAAATACATGCACTGAGATGAACTGGACATAATTGTTATACCTAGAAACTTAATCAGCCAGGCCCATCTAAATTTGGTGATCTGACCACAAGAGGCAATTAACCATCAAAGCAGGATGTTGCCAGCAGCTGTAGATGTTCTTTTAGTCCCTTCACCCTCAGGGTAGGAGCTGATCACGGCTTCATTTTTAGGGCTTTTCTTTTTGTATTCTTTATTCTTACCCGACAATTAGCTTGCCTAAACAGCTATTTCTTACCTAGCCCTGAATAAAGAAGCAAAATAAGTGACAAAGAATAATCAAATACTCTGAGATACCTCTTACCCTTTCACATATGTACACACACACATGCATCCTGTCACACGCATACACCCACGTTGTCTGAGCATTCATCTTCTGTCCCTTCCTTCTGGCTTATCAGACACTGAAATAGTGATAGCACTTTCCATTGTCCATGGTGTAACTTCACTCTGTTGGTCAGCTGAAACACCTCACACACAAGAAAAAATTCTCAGGGATAGATTCAAAGCCAGGCTGGATGTGGCTCTGGGCAGCTTGGTCTGGCAGTTGGTGACCCTGCACATAGCAGGGGGTTGAAACTAGATGATCATTGTGGTTCTTTTCAACCCAGGCCATTTTATGATTCTGATTCTGTGAGAAGTAGTCATGCCATGATGATTTCAATGAGGAATTTATTGTCTTTGAATTGTTCTGAAAAAAATGTATATTGAAAAAGAAACAAACACCTGGAACAGATAACATCTGACTGTGACTGAGCATTCTTATGTACCGTGTCCTCAACGACCTACTTGTTCAAATCATTCAAGTTCTTAAACTCTAATTCTGTATAATGCACTGTTTCATATGCATGTCTATGTATATTTCTGTCCCTGTCTATCCACTGGCACTTGCAAAAAAACAAAAGGAAGCAAAATTTTAACGGCCATATAATATCCATAAGACAGTGATTATTTTCATGCAGGATCTAATTCACAAAGGGAAAAAGAACAGGAATGTGAGGTTTTGGTGTTTTTCCTTACATTCATTGTACTTTCAAAATCAGTTGCAGGAAATCTCTTATTTTGTATGCAAGCAAATTTAACAAATAAATAATCAGCATACAGACCTACCTGAACACAGTCTGTTAGCTTGCTACAAAGCCAACCTGATGCTTGCTAACGTGAAGACCTGGATGTAAGAAAAAGGTTTAGGTGCTGGACGCTCAAGCAGCATTAGTTTAAATGAACTTAAAACAACAAAGCAAGATTTTATAAACCACACATCCCAAACGTGATGCAGCATTTGCAGTTTCTCTAAAAACTAATTCAGAAAGCATAGAAGTACACGAACATGTAAAATCTGTTTCCATGCAGTCGTTACGGTGTTAGTTCCTTCAGCTACACCTTCAGCGTGAGCTGGGGAACTTGTGGCCATGCTTCCAGATACAGGCAGTGAATTCACTCCATCTGCAAGCTCGTCCCTTTTCCCCACGTGGTTACTACGGATGAATGCCAACTTGTAGCAACGAAAGGTGCTCTAAAGGCCTCCATGGCCTTCAGCAATGACATCACCACAGAAGTACCTAAACAGAAGCCTGTGTCTCATGGGACAGGCTGTCACACAGGTATGTCACGGATGGCGAGGAACGCTGATGCTGCCATGTCAGTTATTTAAAAGCTCTGACTACGGAAGGCATTTTTTGATAATTCCACTAATTACCTGAGTCAGCGGGGAAGCGCAGAGCTGGTTCTTTCCTGGGCTCACCAGGATGTAACAACGCAGGAAGCAGAAGATAATGGAAGCCCCAAGCACAGAGCTGAGTCAGAAGCTCCACTTCTTTGTCACCAGCGTAGACGCGGGCAACTCGTTCCTTCAAGAAGAGGCATTGGGCAACCACAAAACAGGAAACCTCATACAGAAACGTTACACTCAGTGCACCGGCCGGCCCAGGAGGGCGCGTGGCTCTGTGAGGTGCAGGGCTGTGGCTGTAGCGTGGGGTTGGGGCACAGGGCCACACCGCTGCCCGGCTGGCCCGCTCCCCTTCCTGGCATACGTGCATTTATCACTGAAGAGCTGTGGGTTTTCCCAAGCTTTTAGGTCAAACAGGGAACGCATCGCACTGCACCACCTTGGCCTGTTTCCATTCTCTGAGAGTCCCACTACCCACAAAGAGAAGCTGAGCCCACAGCTCAGTGCTCCCACCTCAGCCCGCAGGCAGGAACTGAGGCTCACCGGGCGGCCCCGGCCTCCCCGCCGCGCCTCGGCTGCCGTGCGGCCAGAACCGGGACGGTTCCGCGGACAGGGGCTACAGCAGGACCCGCCACGTGCCCCCTCACGCCCCGGCGCTCTACGCCCCGCCCGCTCTTGGCTTTGCCCCGCCCCATCGCTGCCTGTTTATCCACGAGCTGTACACGTGGTGGCCGTACCCCGCCATTGGTCCCCCGTCCGGGCAGCTGTAGTTTTCTCGCCAATCGGGGCGCTGTCCACGCGCGGCCGCCCGCAACCCATTGGCTGCGCCGCGGCGATCACGCAGCGTGACGCACTCCGGCCGTGCGCCCGCCGGGAAACGAGCGTCACCCGCGACGAATGGCGCGGCAAGCGGCCGGGCGGCGGCCAATGAGGCGCGGCCGGGGGGCGGGACTTTCCGCTGCGGGCGCCGGCGGAGACGGGCGGATTTTAAAGCTACCGTCGACGGCGGCCGCGGGCTTCCCCGGGAGCCGGGGAGCGATGGCGGCGGCCGGGCCGGGCCCGGGCCCCGGGGCCGGCGGGAAGGTGAAGACGCTGGCCGTGGTGCTGCAGGACGAGAGCCGGCGCGGCGGCTACTGCAGCGGGGACACGGTGTCGGGCCAGGTGCTGCTGGAGCTGGCGGGACCGCTGCCGCTCCGCGGGCTGCGCCTGGAGGCGGCGGGCCGGGCCCGCGTCGCCTGGAGCGAGGCGGCGGGAAGCGTCAGCGCGGCGGGGGCCTGCGGGGCCGAGGCGGCGGCGGGGCCGCGGCGGGAGGCTGAGGTGCGCTACCTGGACGTGCGGCAGAGCCTGCTGCGGCGCACGGCCGAAGGTGAGCGGGGCGGCGGGGGGCGACGCTGCGGGACCGCGCCCCGGGGGCCCGCGGGTTTCCTCGCCTGTTGAGCCCGCGCCGGCGCCCCGATGCTCTGCGGGGCAGCGGCGTGCGGAGCTGACGGAGCCGCGTTGTGCCGCTCGCGGCAGCGCCGAGCGCTGACGGCACACGGCGTTGTGTAAGCGCTGATCTGCGGGGAAGTCGGGTCGGGCCTTTGGCAGCGCCGTGACGGTAGGCCCTCGATGGTTGTACCAAGATTACATCGATTAATAAGAATATGTTTCGTAACGCTGGCCTTAAATTGCAGCTTTTCAGTGCAGAAGGGAGCTTAATTGAAAAAAGTGGATTAGCTGCAGCTGTAGAATTGTGGAGTCACTGTGGGTGGAAAAGACCCTTAAGGTCACCACGTCTGGCTGACACCAAGCCTTGGGGGCCACCACTGACCTTTGGCGCCGCATCCGCAGCTCACAGATACCTCCAGGGATGGCCTCCCTGCCCTGTTCAGTGCCTGACCGCCTTTCCATGAAGGAATTCTTCCCAACAGCCAACCTAAACCTGCCTAGGTGCAACTCGATCTGTTTCCTCGTGTCCTATCGCTTTGTCACCTGAGAGACCGACAGAGACCGACACCCACCTTGCCGTGCCCTCCTTCCAGGCAGTTATAGAGCGTGATGGGGTTTCCCCTCGGCCTCCCGCAGGCTGAACATCCTCTGCTTCTTCAGCCGTTCCTCACATGTCTTGTGTTCTAATCGCCTCACCCAGCTCTGATGCTCTTCTCTGGATGCGGTCCAGTATTATTCCTGAAGTGAGGGCCCAAAACTGAGCGCTGTACTTGAGGTGGTCTCACTGGCGCCGCTTACAGAGGGATAATCACTTCCTTAATCGCTGTCCTGTTAAAAAGGAGAAGAAACTTACTGTATGCTTTCCAGAAGCTGTTTTGGATTGGTTGGCCAACATCCTGAACTGAAACTCAAGGACTTGGTGTTTCCTTGATTTATTTTTTTTTTTCATTGAAGTCACACTACAGAATAAATGGAGTGTGGGCTCCAATCCAAAACCCATTGGGATCAATAAAAACTTCTACCAGTCCCTTGCATCTGGGCATTTATAATTTGTACGAGGCTCTGCTTTGTACTTCTATTTACAGAGTAACTGAAATACACTATTCATTTTTATCCTACAGGTGAGGAAGGCTTAGTTCTCTTAGATGGAAGACATGAATTTCCCTTCAGCTTTCAACTCCCACAAGAGTAAGTTAAATAACACAACCTGAAGGGATTGTGCTGGACACTGCTTATTGTGGCAAATTAATTCAATGTAATTTGACTCATGTTTTTTTAATATCAAACTGATAGCTCAGCTTTATATGTTTGTCTTAATCAACCACCAGGTTGTGGACGTGCCCTGTTTGTTATAGATTCCCTAAGGCCCTAAAAATACAAGATGTAAATTGGTAAATGTTTATATACACAGGAAGTGTTCATGTTTGGAACTGAATTACAAACCTATGGTAATTCTTTTGAATGTTTCAGACCTCTGGTGACCTCTTTCACTGGGAAGTATGGCAGTATTCAGTACTATGTGAAAGCAATTCTGGAAAGACCTGCAGCACCTGATCAAAGTGTACAGACAGAGCTTCAGGTCATTAGCCATATCGATGTCAACTCACCAGCTTTATTGGTAAGAGGGTCTTCCACTGCCCCTTCCTCCCTCAAGGCCAGCTGCAGAAATTAAAAATAAAAAAAATCACGTTCCATCCAGCAATAAACATTTCCACGTTATTCTAGAGAGACGTTTTCCAACTTCTGAAAGCATGTAAGCTCCCTAAGCTTTTCTCTATAAATAGATGATCTTAGGTTGTGCGAATAGCAAACAGAGAGGGTTGTTGGTTTTTTGTGTTGGTTTTCTTTTTCTAATACCATTGATTACAACCCTGCTGGCAGAGGTGCTCTTGCCAAAAAGTTATGCAGGCTTCAAATGCATAAATAATGCTTAATAATAATAATGCACAAGCATAAAGTAGTTACTCTTACCAGAGCAACTACATTCACACGGCTGCAGTGTCCTAAACTCTTCAATAATAGTAGGTTGAGGAACAGTAATTATAGAAGAGTATTAATCATGCCCAGCCTGTCATTTATGGTCTGGCCATTATGTTACGTCTCCTTCCATTCTGCATGTCGTTTTCTAACATTAAGTGTGTGCATGCAGCTGCTTCAGAGATCTTTTCAGTTATTTCCTTATGACAGATTTGGCCACATTAAAGCAGAGCTTCTAATAGACATCAGAAATACTGTAGAGTAATAAGAAAGATCAGGCATTAAGTAATGAGAAAATAGGCAAGATAGATGCTAACGAGCTGGATTCTTTTATCTCAGCCTATATTATGAAAATAATGTAAAATTATACCTTGCATTTTCATGATAGCAACGGGATCTAAGTGGTTATTCATTTAAATATGAATGAGTAATTTCTATTTTATTTAAAACGCTAGGATAATTTTAACATTTCATCATGATGAACAGAGCTAAGAGATGTTTTTAGCACATTTTTTTCCTTCCTTTTATGTGCTTACGTTTTAATCTCTCCAGAGCTAGAACTTATAGAATTGCTTTGGCAGTGACATCTGTAAGCAGAATATGGTCCTTTTACATCAGTGTATGTCAGGAGCATGAAGACAGCATGTTTGGTTACTGCAAGGATAGTGTGGAGTTGACAATAGGCCATTGCACAGGAGGGGGCAATGAGTCATACAGCAGCCATTGCTCATAGTAGATTACAAGGAATCCACCAAAAGTAGCTGAAAGTTTTTAGAACAGTTGGAAAAATTGGATGTTGTATTTTTTGTCACAATGCTAAATATTAGGGGTTTGTGTGGATTACAGGTTACAAGGATGTATCACCTTAGCTCAGTGTGTATACATTTGTCCTTTCTTATTAGATTACACAAAGATAAAAATAGTTTACTGGTTTAACTACTGCTTGCAAATGGAATTAATTCTGCATTTTTCTGCACTAGGGTTATGTAAGGGCATAAATACAGCAATTCTTCCTGAGATTTTTAAAAAGGAACACCTATAAAAATTCATTGAATCAATCTTTTTGGAAACATTAATTCAAATACACTCAGTCTCTGTCTTCTGCATTTGATACCTTCTAAATGCAGACTTGTGCTTTAAAACAGACCTATCTTCAAATAGCCAAGACATGCTAACGTTTCATATGGTGGGCAAAACACCAGTTCTGTTGAGCAGTACACCAAGGGGATTTTAGAATTAATTTCAATGATTCTTAGGCATTACACTAAACTTCAAGTGATTGATAACTTTATGTGATAAAATGGAAAAAAACCCTTTTTTTATAGACACCTGTTCTGAGAAGTCAGGAGAAGATGGTTGGCTGTTGGTTTTTCACCTCTGGGCCAGTGTCTCTGAGTGCCAAAATTGAGAGGAAGGGATACTGTAATGGTAAGAGGAATTGTCTTCGCTCTTCAGGACATGAGTATTAAACATCTAAGATGATTTTTTCATCCCTGTAAAGGCAACAATAGAAAGGAAGCCCTGTCAGTAAACTTAATGGAAAAGCCATGAACATCTGGTTATAAAGAACAAGATGCTTTTAGTGGGGATAAAATAGATCACTGGGGCTGTAGGGTTTTTCCATGTCCCATTTGGGTATTTACTCTTCTGTAAGAAAGAGCTTTAGCAGCTTCTTTCACGTCTTGATAATATTAGGTACTCTGAGAAAATGGAATATTCTGGAATGCAATTAGTACTGCATAGAAGGAAGACTGGTGCGTAATTTGCAAATAAAGCTTTTAGCACTTGTTCATGTTTTGCTTAATGTTTTAAAATGAATCATTGTTTATGCACAAAATGTAGTAAGGGGCTTTAATTCTGCTTGGATGCCAACTCTGTAAAGAAACTAGCTTGAGGAAACTAGCAAGTGTTGTTCTCAGTTTTAAGGTGGGTGATGTACATGCTGCAAAACAGCTTTAATATTTCTAAGAGAAAGCTGGTAAACACAAATTATTCACTGAACTCTTTCTAATTTTAAGGGGAAGCCATACCAATCTATGCAGAAATCGAGAATTGTTCTTCTCGCCTGATTGTTCCAAAAGCTGCCATTTTCCAAACACAAACATACCTGGCCAGTGGGAAGACAAAAACTTTCCGTCAGATGGTTGCCAATGTGCGAGGAAACCATATTGCCTCTGGGAGTACAGATACCTGGAATGGGAAAACTCTGAAAATCCCACCTGTATCCCCCTCTATACTTGACTGCTGTATTATTCGTGTAGAATATTCATTAGCTGTAAGTATGGACTTTCTTTACAAATGCAACTATTGTATAACAACTGCTGAAAGCTACATTAGGTTGGGGACGAAAGAATTTTCATTACTGAGCAGTTCTTAAATTTTGAACTGGGAAGCAACAGTAAATGCCAATAAATATAATATGCAGATGACAGACTGAAAACCACGAGGAGATTCTGAAACTGAAAGATAAGAGTAATAAGGAAAATGTTTCTGAGGGAAGCAGCAGTTTAGTTCTAAACCTGCAGAGGTTATCAGGGGACAGTATTTCTCACTAAGTGGGTTCTTCTAGTTGTTCTCTTCAGAAAGAGGCAGGATTGAAGTCAACCTGTTTTGGATTTTTTTTAAATATCATCTAGAGACAAGGTAGAGAAGGAAGGAAATTACTGAAAAATAATGAAAGCTGCCAGCACATTAGTTGAACATTTGGGATGAAGGAAACTAATTTTTAAATGACCTGAAACAAAGGCAGTATGGCAGTTTCTGGGAGCAGTAGTTCAATGGAATCTAATTATGTCTTTTTCTCTTATTTGGGGTTGTCGCATAGGTGTATATCCATATTCCCGGTGCTAAGAAATTGATGATTGAAATGCCTCTAGTGATTGGCACTATTCCATGTATTGGCTTTTCAAGCAGAAACTCCAGCATTACCAGCCAGTTTAGTATGGATATGAGTTGGCTGGCCTTAACCCTGCCAGAACACCCTGAAGGTAATACATATCAAACTTTTTACAATACCGCATAATATTGTTTACAGCAAAAAGGTAGTAGTGGCAGTTCAAGAACTAGATCAGTAAAGGATGTAGACCACTGAAGTACAACTCGTGAGAAGTAAGGCATGTATATCTAACTAAAAATACAGGAGTGATGGGCATATCCTAGCTCCAACTCTCTTTAAGAGTCCCTTCACCTCTAGCTGATTTCAACTAAATCTTGAAATAACTAGCTTCTGATAGCAGGAGTTCTACTTTTGCAGTGGAATTAGAACTAAGGCACCTAAAAGTTCCTTCATAAAATACCAATATACTGCTGGAGTAGCTCTAAAAGCATCTGTAGCATGCCTGCTGAATTAAGCATACTGATGCCATGGTTCCAGATGCAGTATTTATGAATATGGTGCACTCCATAAAATCTGACAGCATAAGATATTTAATATATACAGTCTTCATAGTCTTAGGATATTGTAATGCATATACTGTCTTGCCAGAGAATACTTCAGAATTTCACAGTGTTATCTCTTGTGTTTCAGCACCACCAAATTACGCTGATGTAGTGTCTGAGGAAGAGTTCTCCAGACATGTTACTGCTTATCCACCACCAATCGACTGTGAGGAACAATTGTGTTGTCCTGTGTTTGCTTACATACAAGAGTTCCGGTTTCAGCCTCCACCTCTTTATTCAGAGGTAAAAAATAATAATAATTAAAAAACAGGCTTCAAAAAAAAAAACAGCTTTTTTTTTTTTTTGAAAAGTCTCAGCTGAATCTTTAGGTGTATTTATTATCACTCGGGGGAGGGAAACAATTGGGATGCAAGAACTAGAGGCAGTAATTATTGACTTCCTTCTCCCTGTAGGTTGATCCACATCCAACTGATGTAGAAGAATTTCAGCCTGTTTCATTAATTCTTTGAAGAAGGCTTTGTAATGAGGATCACTGCGTTGAATGTCTTATCTGCTTCAGCTGACAGTGCAGCTAAAAAGGAGACGGTTTTCTTTTTCACAACTTCAGTTTGCGTACAAAAAAGGCAAAAGAAATGGAGAGGGAGGTCTGAGAATGTCTGGTGACAGAAGAGAATCTGCTGGATTAGCCTGAGCAGAAGATTCTGTGGAAGCAGCTCTGAACTGGAAAATACTAAATGTTTTTTTTAAAGAAGTGGATGTATTGCATAAAGTACACGGTGGAGGTATGAAGATCTTCTGAAGAGAAATCAATGTATACTTTGTGTGGAACACTGGAAGAATTTAAGTAAGGATGATGTTGGGAACTTGCTTAGTAGAACACGGGTAGCAGAACAGAATGTGGGGTAAGAAAATTGTTTCAAAAGATGTCCCAGTGCTCAAGGGGCTTCTGTGTGTATCCAAGAATGGAACACTACTACAGTGTGGAGCGAAATCTTCACTCTAGCTTAACTTTTCATTTCATGAGAGCCTGCCAAGTGGTACTGTTTAATAACTTGTACTGATTCTAAAGATGTCATGGATGACAAAATAGCTATTATGCAATATTATGAAGACAACCATTTACTGAATGAAAGATAAGAGTATGTAAAAGAAAACTGAACTTTGATATGAGCTTATGCACTATGCTTTCTTTCAAGGGATTTCTTAAGGGAATTATTCTAGCCTTTTCTACTGTATTGTTCTTTTTCTGCATCTTAAGCCTATGGGTAGCATAATAAGGGGAAGCATGGCAAGGGAAAGATCCTTTTGCCAACAGCAGGTATACTTCACAGTATGGACAATACTTATTTATTCAGAAGCCTTTATAAGCCTACCTCTATTCTGCAAATGTACTTACGGTCAGATCTGAGACCAAAAAAAGAGTCTTGTTTAAGCTCCAGGATACTTCAGGGTTCTGAAAGGGACCCTGAACAGTTTCTGTGATTAATGAATGAGATGGAAAGCATAGAGAGAAGCTTAAATTTATCCCAAATAGATATAGCATATAATTGAAGTAGAAGCAGACACCAGAGGAACAAAATCCTTTGGTAATGGCACAATGCTTCTCATTACTCCTGCATTTTTGTCTAGAGATCTCTTGTCAGGGGCTGCACTAGTCATTTGCTATCCATCCTATTTTTTGTTAGTGTTTCCTTGTTTGTTTTTGCTGTCTAATTTTGTTTTTGTGCAATATTTTAATGTTTTCTTCCTCAGGTCATGTAGAACAGTAAGTTTTTGCTGCTAAGAATGAAGGCACATCTTATTACTTGGCCCTTTGCTGCCTTCATTTAAAGTAGAATGTTTGCTTCCTGCCAAGCATCAATTGGAATAAGTAATCCAGCATGAACAGATGACTTAACGGAGCAGAAACACAGCATTCTCAGTATGCATGTTTACAGTCAAGTCTTTAAACTATAGGGAATCTTGAACTGCTAGATCTACTCCATATGTCTTACAGAAGGGTTTTGAGATAAAACCTGGTGCTTCATGTGGTTAAAACATTGTACTCTCTGATCACTACAAGGATAGCAATTGAGTTTCTTTCATTTCATCAGTAACTGCAGTTTAAAGAAGTTTGAATGTTTTTTATGAAATCTGTCTTCATTCAAGAAGCAGGGATTTTTCTATAACCATATACGGATATGTATTTTTAGTTTTCTTTTAGTATGACTTCCTCATATTGTCTGATTTCTAGCACTTCACCTCAAGTCACTCTTATATCACTGTAAAAGACATACTGATGAAGATTCACATTTCTAAACTGCAGTTACATTTTTCATTTGCAAACTGAAGTATTGTCATCTATGGCAAATGCAGCTTTAATCAAAATTTGAGTGCATGTTTTAGAAAGGACACTCTCAAAATGAGTATTTCTTGTCTTAAGTCTCAACATGTAGCTCTCATGCCTTTTATTTCAGTGTTGGCGTGCCCATACACTCAGTGCAGGATTTTCTTTTACATATCACCTGGAAAGGGAACAAGCATAATTTCCTTAAACAGATACCATTATGGTTACTTGAAAAATACTGTGGCTGTGTACTAATTTGCATGTTAACAATTCAAAATACTACCTTTAAGAAGATTGTGTTTTTTTGTTTTCGTTTTTTTGCTTTAATTCCTGATAGGTGATGTGTGTGTTATCTGGCTATTTGATTGGTATAAACATGGTCAGGCAAACAAAAGATGAAAGGTAAAGATGTGCTTTGTTGTTGTTTTTTCCTCTGTGAGTTGTTCTTCATTATTTGCAGATAAACTGTGGCCTTAGATTGTTTGCTGCAAAAAAAACTACTAAAACGTGTTTCTTAGGAAGCACACATGGTCCTTCAAAGGAGGGTTGAAAACAAGATCAAGTTCTGCTCTCAGACACTTGGCTTAGTGCAGAAATTGGTCCTTAAATAATGTTTGCACAATACGTTCAATAAGCAGGGGGTTTGTTTTGATAACTGTGAAACAGTTGAAGAGAGACAAAATAAAAAAAAAAAAAAAAAAAAAACCTGTTAAACTTTAACATCCAGGAACGTGATTGTATTTTGTACTAATATGAGCCCTATGGGTTCTTTTTTTGTTAATAAAAGTATAAAACTCACAGCGCTGTTCCTGTTGGTTTCAATATCTGTAAGATGGAAAAACTGTTGTCTTTTAATTGTCTTAAAAATGTGTGTTTAAACAGGTAATAAATGAGGTCCTCTTCCATAGAAGGGTAGAGAAGGTACTGCAGGTTTGTGTTTGCAGCTCTGATGTTTGAACTGGAACACAATTCCCATACAGAGTAAGAGAGATCACTTAATCAACTCCTGAACTGGGCCATATTCCAAACTCTTAAAATAGTATGTTCTGTTATTTCACTGCCCCATTTGAACACCTAACTCCTTTTATTCAATCTGCACTATAGATCTCATTTAAGTGCGCGGAGAACACAGTTCACAAAGTTGATTTGAAGATGATCCATTGCTCTACTTATCTTCCATGCCAAAACAGCCACGGCAGTAATGCCTACTTTCCAATCAAATTCTGCTGCTTTCCAGTGCTCTCCTTGGGGTGGTGGATGAGCACTGGACAGGGACATAAAAAGAGGCTTTCAGACTGCTGCATTTCTCTAAAGCTGGTTATATAATATCTTAACATCAGTACAGATAGTGCAGGCTGGCATGTAAAGTAGATTCTCTAAAGAACTACTTAGGCCTCTCATGAGCCTGGTCATTTGCTCCTAATACTCAAATTTTATATGGATGTAGCATAGACAGGGTGCCAGTCCGTGCTCCAAATTACACTGTGATCATCATTATTAAACATAATATGAAATGATATTACACGATCATACTACATTATCATTTCATTATTGGCATTTTAAGACAAGTTGTTTCAATATTAAGTCAAGAAATGAAAAGTGGTTTTACATGGAATGCAAAATGGTAACTCAAGTGAGACTTGACTAGAGTAGCTGCTTATGCCAGAGCTTGTTAGAACACAGGCAGATTCGATCTGATTAAGTACAACTGTATTACTGATAAATCTCTGAGCACCCATCCCTTCAAAAGAAAGGAGGAAATCCCTCTTAGTTTGGGCTTACATTCAGCCATCTGGTTGCATGGAGGGTGAGAACGTGAAATGCAAGGTGAAAGTAGGAGCAGGTGCTAGTGCTTGATGGACACCTACAGATAGATTTCCCCAAATAAACTGAGACAAACAGATCAAAATGATTTTATACTACCACACAATACTTGCTGTGTTGCTTGATGGCAGTTGTTATTAGTTGTGCTTTCAAGTAATAACTGTACTCAGATTAAGAGTTGGATATGTAAGTGTCAGGTGAGGTAGATTGGTAGGTATTTACCACTCAGCAGCTATCACTACAACAGCCCAATAACAAGCATCACCCATTTGCTTCTACCATCTTCAGTGTACCAGACCTCTAATGGACAACTTTCCCCCACTCTCCCATTTAGCAAAACTGCTCACTTGTAGCACAAGATTCAGCTGGCAGTCTGTGCTTACACAGACAGAGCAGCAGAAGGACATTTGTAGTCTTAGTTGATGGAAGGAGTACAGAGCAAAAACCAATAGAGTTAAAAGCAATAAACAGTCATCCGCTGCGGGATGGAAATGGGAGTAGGGGAGGAATAGAAAGGAAATGCTGTCATTGTCACAAAGAAGACACAGCTGAAGCAGCAAACAGTGCCTTAAGAGGGGATTTGACCTGAACACCAAAAGCAGCCAGTTGCTCAATGCCTGGTATCAGACGTGGTCACACACAACACGCACAAGAAGTGCAGATATGTAGGCTAAACTTGCTGCCGAATACTTTTGGCTGTGAAAAGCTACTAGTTCCCAAGAACCTTGGAACAGTGTAATTCTCCCTAAAAGCTAGGTACTGGGCACAGAGATTCTTGACACTGATTTCCAAAGTTAACCTGTATCTCAGTACCCAGCTGTGGGATATGCATATTTACACACAGAGGCTTTCTGAAAAAATGCACGTCTATAAACAGAATGTTCTTACAAACCAACTGACCTGTTGGAGGCATCTCCCAGCCAGGCCTCGCAGTGAGTATGTTGTGAACAGTGAGACCTCAGCTCCTGGGGAACACGAGCACACGATTTCTTCAACCCTGGTTTGGGGAAAACGAAAGAACAGACATAAGAGTTATCAGTAATAACTGAAGAATTGTCAAGAGGACAATATTATGACCACAAGTGTTAAATGGAATTGTTGCAAAACCAGAAAAGTCCCAGAGCTGTAAATAGGACAGTTCCTATTGATGTCACAGCCAGAATCTGGTTATGTCAGTCACAACAGTCAGACCACAGCATGAGGAGAAAGCGAGCCTTACTGTTGAACTAATTGGATTAATCGATGCACAAAAGAGATCACAAGTGACAAAATGTTAAATTTTCATTTAAATAATTTAAGCCCTGAAGTGCTTTTATCATCTCTCTTAATGTGATGTGACCAATGCATTAGCCTAAACAGATTAGAAAGATACTAAAATGGAAAACAGTCTGTGGTCATAAGTGTTAAATGAGAGTAGGAAAGGAAAAGCATTTGCTGATCTGACACAGCTTCTCCAACCACAGTGTCCTGGAGGAGGAGATCAGGAGATATGTGTCTGACAGACACTGGTACCACACCGAGAGACCAAGTTTTGCACGCTGCGTGCAGGGCTGGTCCTCCTTATCCCAGCAGCAACGTTTTGGTACCAGTGATCTCTCCCTCACCCTGAGATCAGAGAGCAGGCTGGCATGATCCTTTATCAGTGATTCAGCCATCGCATCTGCTCAGCACACAGGAGCAAGATGGGAAAGTGAGGCTGTACCTCAATAGGGCTGTGCCGGGCTGCAGCCAGCCCCGCTCCCACCAGCTGTGCTGTGCCCACAGGCAGCTCAGCCCCCCCTGCACCCTGTGCAGTCACACGCATCAGGGGCAAAGAATTCAGGAGGTCTGTCAGCTCGAGGTGTTAAACACAGAAGTCCCCAGGAAGGGCAACCTCACAGGCTTTTTTTCTCACGTGAACCCACCTGCCATCACCGGGACAGGACATTATGTTCATCCAAACAAATTAACAATTCATTTCCAACCCTGACACGAAGATTAACCCTGCCAATTAATTCCTTAATCTCTTGCTGCCGACAAGGCTCACAGTTGCCATGTGGACGCGTGTCCATTGGGGCCTGAAGCGGGGCCATTCTGTTAATTGATGCCGCATCCAGGACACGGCGCAGCTGATATTCAAACATACTCCAACTATACAAACCAGGGCTGCATCTCACACTTCACCAATGTGCCAGACAGCACCCGATGGACACCTTGAAAAGGGCATGGATCTCAATGGCTGCAGCAGCTTTTGCGGCATACAGGAGAAATGTTAGCTGGTACAGTCATTCAGCCATGATGCGATTGTACTGTTGTGTAGCACACACAGGAGCTGGGAATGTGTGAAATACAGCAGTGATGGAAAGTGATACTCAGTCACCTTGAGGGTTGTCTGCAAGCCAGCTGTGACAAATTGGGTCAATTTTCCTTTGTTTCTCTAGGTTTTACCATATATAATTAAAACGATACTGCTCATTAAGGTGCTTTATGAAGTAATAATAAAATCTATGAATAATATTAAATGAAAGGCTACATAATGTCTCTGGACATATAAAGCAGGAAATTGCAGGTGTATAAAGTAAGCGAGCAACAAAAAAAGGAATCACTTGGTGCCTGTTACAACTCGTCCAGCGGGTTGGGACGAGTGGAGGCATTGCAGCACTGCAAGAAGTGTGCGAGCTGTATAAACACACAACGTAAGTGGTGTTTACAGAGATGTACAGGGAAGGAGGGTGTACGGTGTACAGGACTTTCTGTTCCATGCATGTGTTAGGTAACGTCTGCTCTGGGGCCTTCGGTTGGGGATTTTTTGTTGTTGTTTTTGGTTTTTCACGTATTTGGGCTCAGTGCTCAGTTATACACTGAACTTCCTTAACGCAGGTAAGGTGAAGCCCATCCTGCTGCAGTAGCAATACAGTCTGAAAAATAAAGTTTGATTTTCCCTGCAGGCCTTCCAGCAGCTCCTGACAAGGCTGGAGAAACAGCTGATCTGTCTATGATTAAGGGGAAATACATTCAATGCAAAAAAAAATTGCAGCTACTGGATGGGAGCCAGCAGCCCAGCAGCAATGGGTGCCTTGTCAGAGGGCATTACTGGAGAGGTATTTCATTCTTCAGCAGAATGTTTATTTAAGATGTGTAACAAAACCAGGCAACATCTGAGGGCTCAGGAAGGCTGAAGGACAGATGCCTATTTACGTAGTGGAGGTGCCTTCAGAGACACTGTCAGTGACAGTGCTACTGGAGAATGCAGTCTGTGTCCTCAGGCCTTGTTTCTGCAGGATTTGTCAGGACAAAGGCTTGCATCAGCTTTTCCCAGGGCTGCTGCCCGTAATGCAGCACTACCGCGCTGTAGTCACAAGCAGTCCCTGCTTAATCACGGTGCTGTTTCCTTCACAGAGCCGTGTGGTACCAGTTCTCACACAGATTTGGTGTTGGAAGGGTTAAACTGCTGCTCCCTACCGGACTATTTGGCATCTCCTTGTTTTCTGAAGTTATCACACTTTCTTCTAGGAACTTGTGCTATAAACAGCTCCCGGGCGGCTGCCAGTTATGTACTTTTCCAGACACTGCTATGAAACACGTCACCTAGCAGCGTGTCGGTACAGGGGGAAGGGGAGGTAATCTTTCCATTACACCCCATGGGAGCAGGTAGGAAAGCCCCAGCAGCAACACGAACACCATCCTTCACTCTACCACACAGTTTTGGCTTCCAATTATTTACCAAATGCAACTTTTCCAAAGTGACAACAGGCATTGCCAGAGCTGAGTCCTGCTTAAGTCACCTGCATATATTTTGCTGAAACATCCCCCCCCCAGGTGCCTTGGTGCCCATCACAAGCTGTGCCCCAGCCCAACGCAGAGCAGCTCCCTGCAAAGCCAGCCTCCCACTTCTGTGCAGGTCCTCTTTGATCAGCAACCGCAGCAGTAATTTACATCTCCCATCATTAAGCCTTCTGTATGATCACAGCCAAGCAGCCCTTCTGTGGAGCTGGCAGGCATTTACAATCCAAGTATGCTGGGAAAAAGACTTCAAGGCTATTTAGGGAGGATTCCCATGCCTATTACAGTTCACAGTTCAAGGAGATCCCCATCCCTGCTGGCAACACACAGTTAGATAT